AAAAAAAAAAAATTAAAAACATTGAAAATTTGAAATGTCTTTAAGTAACTCTTAAAATTGTATTATGTATAGAAAATACCAGTCTAAACATTTATCTATGTTACATTTTTTTAGAGTTACACCAATATCTAAAATCGATTTTCTCAAAAATTTATTTTGCGTAAATATTCACGTTTTTTATTAATTCTTTTTTATTTTTGTTTTTCCTAGCGCTTTTGAAAACTATGCACCAACTAGATTCACATTCTAACTGGAAAAGCTACTTAAGTTGRAAATCGAATCATTATTTCAACAACTTATCGTGTACACAAACACACAAAAATAAAAACACACACAACATCGTAAAATCAATACATTCATCGTTCCGTCCAGAATCTAAAATTCTGATTTAATAAAAATAAAATTAAAAAACATAATATTATAGCTTATTTGCTTTTTTTTTATTTACACATAGAAATTAAAATATGATACATTTAATTTTTACTAAGGTAACAAATATAATAGGTACTTATTTTATATTACGTATACTACTATTTTTATTGTTTGTAATTGTAATTTATAACTAATAAAGTAATAACTAATAACTCAAGTCAAAACTCACAACTTAAAAGTAACTTAAACCTAACACTAGAGAATTCGATTATTTTTATTTTTCAAGTCTTTATTGTAAAGCCATTCTCTTAAATGTTTCGTCCGATTGTATGCTATTTGTTTTGGTGTCAGCGCTTGATAAATACTGGTATACTTGTACTCATCAGAAACTAAAAAATAAATATTAATTTATAAATTATGTAGCATGACATTTCTATTTAATTTTTTTAAAGGGAAAAATGAAAAAACTCGCAATTATATAGTTAAATAATTATTAGTATTTGTTGTGAGGTGACTGTCACTAATAATGTTGGTTTAAATATTCAGTGTTAAATGATGGATTTTCATCAGCGAAACACACTAGCGGGGGTATTGGTGAGTTATATAATCTTGTAAAGCTATAAGAATTATTTTATGAGTAGGCACCTAACCTAATCTAACCTAAACAGGACACCAATTTTAAAACTGTTATGGATACGTCAAACAAGTAAACAGGGCGCTAATTATGTTTTATATTTACAATTAATTTAAAACTATTTTGAAGACACTGCGATAAAGAAACAATTTGTCATTACTTAAAATCTAAAAATTTAGATCGCATATAATCAGATTAAAATTTGGGAAAATAGATAAAATTAGTTAAATATCTTTAGGTWTACAGTTTGTTTATTTTTATTTATAATTATAAAGGTAGGTAGTAATAATTATAGATGCAAATCGGCYTAGTTGAGGCTTAACGGGAAAAATTATATATTATGTTTTAAAAGAATTCGAATTTTACATTTATCACACTTTAGCGAAACTTGTTTTGTTCTTACTTTGCAAATAGCACTGTATTTGTAAAATAGGAATGTACGTAGGACGATGGCCCAGTCAAATCCAAAGAGGGGTTGCTATTCGGGTTGCGAGTTGTTATATAGAACCGTGTCCGATATGGCTGTACTAGTCCTGGCTAGAAACCCCCTGCCCACCTTTTGGCCGAAGAACGGTWTAGAATCGAAGAGCGCAAGTGTGAAGTTACGACGGTGGCAGTCATCAAGAGGCAGGAGCGGGAGGTTACTTTGCGTAAGTGGCAGGAGCTGTGGAACCACACGTCAAAGGCAGCGTGGACGCGAAAGTTGATCCCGGACATCCGGAGGTGGTTGAACCAGACAAGGATAGTCAATGTATCATTCCATATTATGGCGCAAGCACTGTCGGGACATGGATGCTTCCAKCTGTCCTCTATGGAGGTGGGGGAGGGCGCCTGATCCTCACTGCTTCCACTGCGAGGAACTGGAAGACTCAGTGGAGCACACGCTGTTTCATTGTCCGTACTGGGAGGAAGGTAGACATGAGACGGAGCAGTGCATTGTTTGGCGTCTGTGGCCCGAGGATGTCCCTGATATCATTCTGGGGCCGGAGCAGGAGGGCCTCCCTGATGATATAACAAGGAGACGGTGGATTATGGCATCGGCAGAGAAGCAGAGGCTTGCATTTGACAGGATGGTGGAGACGATACATGGGCAGAAGGAGGCTGCAGAGCGCGTCAGGCAGACGAGAGGTGGACGGGCAGTATAAGAAATGTTGTTTTCTATGGACCGAAGGCCAGCTTTTTTGCTTTTGGTTTTTGTTTTTGGGTGATTAGAGGCCCCCGATTTTGTATAGATTGATTGTCTTATTTGGTGAATAAACGATACAGGTACGGGTGGCAGTATTGTGTTGAACAGTTCCCACCTTCCTGGTTTTTGAACAGGAAAAAAAAAGGACGATGGCCCAGTAAAAATATGAAAATGCTTGGTTCAACTCATTATAATAACATGCTATGTTATTTTGGCTGCATCGGAGTTAGGTACGTAAATAATTAGGTAAAGTTCTAAATTGAATTGGTCAGGGTGAATAGAATTTGGTCAAAATATATAGGAGTTTACGTATAAATAAATGTTGTGTTCAAACATATTTTATTCTTATATTCTTATCGTAATAGGAATGGTTTGTATGATGTAAGAATATATGTGAAATTTCTTGAATTTAGGATAAGGTGTTGGCTATATAAAAAAATTCAATTTAGAGTCCAGACTTTATTATAATAAAGCCTTAAATATTTTTTTAGRCAATAACAATTAATTAAAGATTACTATTGTACTTTGAACTTTAATCATTAATTATCGACTAATTAGACCAATCGGATTTATTTTGTTACCTTAATTTTTGGAAAAATAGTAAAAACCACCAATATTTTGAAGAGCTGTATCTCACAAACCAATCAATGAAAAATAAAAACGTTAACACGTAAATTCATGAAATAAATGGTTTTATTGATTCATGATATTTTAATTACATGTTAACATTTGAAAATCAAAAGTTGATAGTRGTTTCACCAATAAATATAAGGATGAAAACAGTTATAATATTATATGGTTTTATGAAAACATAAACCTAAAAGTTTAAAAAAAAGTTAATACTTTTCGAGATAATTAGTCTACCTACCCACTTAAATGGATTACCCTGTATAAGCATATTATTGGTTATATAAGTTAATCAATACATTATTCATGTCGTCGTCTTCGGGCGCCGATTCTCACGCCAGCCAGCTACTCGTTAACGAGCAAAATGAAACCTACAACGTAAAATAAAAATTYGGGACCCAATTCTGAAAATACTCTCGTTTCTCACACACGTAAGTATTAAGCAAAAACTAATCCAACCAGTTCTGTCTCTGCAGGATTGAACAAATAATGAATATCCCACCAATTCTAAATATATCAAGCACTGCCTACTACTRTAACATACCCGATGACACGCACGAGGCAATTATCGTCCATGATACTATTAACAACAACGATCGATCTTATGAGCCCGATACAGGGACCATCTACAGATAATTATACCTCATTAACAAACCAAACCGACTATCAATACTCAATTAAATAATATTAATAACACACTACTTCGATCCTTTTTACCGGACAATAATGGTTCTGTAATAATATTCGCAGAATGCACTGACCAAAACAAAAACCTAGGAAATTGAAATTGTTTCAAAATAGCAAAATTATTTTTCATMAATTTCACAATTTTAAATGCATCTCCATCAAAAAATATAGTACAATTATTCAGACTCTCACTGTGGAATTGAAATATATTGCAATCAAAATCCCGTCCGTCATATCGGCATTCAACTCGTTATTCGAAGTAAAGCCTAGTTTCGTTCTCCTGTTCAAAATTCTACCATAGCAAAGTACGATGCAGTCATTGAAGAGAAACCAAGCACGCTTACGACACATGTCCCTCTGCCCAAGTCACCGATCCGTTATGCCTTTTTTGTAAACGTCCACGCCTGGTTACTGACGGTAGTTGCCGAGAATGGTCTACCCAACAAAAAAATCATGGAAGTTGAAAGTATCTCATACAAGGATGCGTTAACTTTTAAGAAAATGAATTGTTATACACTCGCGTTTAAATATTCAGACATTGTAAAAATTGTCAATCAACCTCCAGCTAAAATTATAGATATTAACACCCCTCTTTACAACGGTAATTTTCTTTGCTTAAATGACACTCATCACTTTTTCTGTGATTTTTCTAAGAAAATTAAGCATTAATTCAGCCATCCACAAACTAAAGAAAGAATCACTTTACCAATTGTTCAATCATAGTCTCCTCCAAGCGAAAGTTATTTAAATAAACATAATAGTAAATATCCAAAACAATTTCTCTAGGATATATACCCTATCTCTCAAACTATCTGAATCTCTATTATTAACTCTTCTTCGTTATTTTATTCATTGTCTTATGTACCTATATATTTTGTCATATATCCAACCTCTCTGTTCAACATATTACATAGTAGTCTAACCTTCCAGCTGAGTTTGTAAAATCATTGCACCAAACAATCAAAATATGGTTCAACAACCTTAATTATTAACCTAAGTCGAAACTATTATACATTTCAACGACCTACGTACAGGTCACATATTACTACCTGCTCACGCTTACAAGCTGGAGTTAGACGACTCCCCGCTCTGTACACTATATTTAATGAAAGTGTGCGATCTCTCTCACCTTCTCTTCGATTGCCCTTCCCTACACGCGAAGCTCGTTACTTTGTTTAATTTCCTTTAGTCCGTTAATATCCCCTTAAATATTTCCTTCATCCTCAACTCCAATTATAAATATGTCGTCAATTTAATTACCAATTTTATCCTGGATGCTGGTTTTATCATATAATTTTCAAGATAACTGTTATTTTTAAACTGTTGTATTTATGTCGTTTAATATTTTATTGTTAAATTAATTATGTACATAATTGTTGAGCTGTAATAGTATTGCTAAAAGCTAATAAAAAATAAAAAACAAAATTAATCAAATATTATAGCTTACTATTAGTATTGATAGGAATATGATTGATGACATTCTCGTGTTGGAAATTGTTAAACTTATCGATTAAACGGCATATATTTTGTTCTGCGGCCTTAACTTTTAACTCTTGCTGATTTAAATATTAAATTAATTTTATTTGTGTATGGCAAAAAATCAATTAAAATCATTACCTGACTTAAAGTATGTAACGGGCTGTAATCAAGTTGTTGAGAATATGATTGCAAGTAGTCGGAACATAGATTTTCAGAAATCTTTGCTTGGTCCAAATAACTAGCGTATTTTCTGTTAACATCTTGTAAAYACACTATAGTATTYATACGGTTAAAATAATGATTATTAGATACATCGGGTTATTATAAATTATAACCTACAGGCACAACAAAGTACAAACCATGTGAATTATTAAATATAGAGTGCATACTTGACGACTCGGCCGGATATATAAATTCTTTGGKACTTGATTTATTATCCGAATTAGTTATATTCTCGGTTTGACATGAAACTGAACATTTATTTGGGCATAAATCCGTGTACTGTTCTGTAAGATAAAATTTAAAATACTGATTGTGTTAGATTTTAAAATTTATATTGGTACCTCTTTATTTACTACTTACATTCGTAGGGAGAGTTTACAAATATATATTATGTTATAATATCACCTAATAATAACATGCTCATTATCATTTTTAATTTTTTCCGCAAAATTATTCAAACGTTTAATATTTTTTAAATTTTAATGTTACCTAATAAAAGTTTTATATTGTTTTTGGTGTCCTATTAAAATTAAAATTATACAAATCATCACCAATATACCTATAACCATTGATGTGAATGCGAAAAATTAAGTCTAGAAAGAAAATATTCTTTTACCTAACCTTAATATTTTATCTCAAGAACATGGTGATATTGGTCTGAATGTTATAAACTTATAATATATTATTTGTAGTGCGTACCTATTTATAAACTTAATTAATAATAAGAGGTATTATGATAAGTCTATTATAAAATTTTACCTCTTGCAATGTATTCATTTGTTGATGACATTAAGTTAACCAATTTTAGAGCATCGTTTAATTCATCCGAACAGTGTTGAATTTTTTTTCTTATGTTGTTACAGTGAACCCCATGCAAACCTTCAGTTTGATATCTACAATTAAATAGTAATTATTAAAGAACTTACTAATTTAAAATTAGGAATGGATTCTCGAACCCTCGAATTTTAGGACATTTGAACAGAAAAGTTTGAGAAAAATTGTGGTTCAAGCATAATTAATTTCGAAATGTTTGAGTAAAATTCATGATAGCAGATCAATTTATTCTTTTTTTTTGCCAAGTTGTTTTCAAGTGAACCCTTAACATTTAAAAACCAAAATTTATTTTACTACTATTATATTTTACAATTTTCTATAATTCAAGATTGATAAAAAATTAAGACTATGTCCGTAATGATTCAAGTTTGACCCATCCCTAATAATATAAGTAAGTTAAAATATTGTTGGTGAACGTTAATTACAGTAAATTCAATTCTGTACGATCTAAACAATCACCGTATAATTTTGATTGTGGTATATTTTTCGTAGTTTTATTATTTATATAATGTTCAGAACTTTCGTTGACACGATGTTTAACTAAATTGATTTCTTCTCTCAAAGCTACATCCAAATGCTCAGCAATACTATTTAATTTATCTTCGGATACAACTTTGAGTTTTTCTTGAAATTGTATGTGAATTTGTTGCATCTCAATATTCATATCACGTTTAATATTTTCTGTAGTTTGTTCAAAATTATGTTTTACGTTTTCCAACTCAACGTTTTTATACGATACTAATGTTTGGTTCCAACCATCGGTTATTGTTTCGAATTTTTTAAAGAAATCTTTTTTTATTTTGTTTGACATTTCGTCAAGTTCCGACTGTATTTTATGTTTAAATAAATCTGTATAGTCCTCTAAATCTTTTTTAAATTTATGAAAATTGTCTGCACACATTTGTTCAGTATTTGAAATATTTTGAATAAATGTCTTATTGCATTCTTCAATTAAGGACTTTCCAGTATTTTCTTGCCTAGATAATAATAATAAAATTAGTAACATATTTTAAAGAATAAAAATAAATCAATTTGGAATTTCGTTGAAAAATTACATAGTGTAAATATTCTCGATTGTTATTTTCTGTATTATTAAGACAATTAGAAATTTCTTACACTTGACCGGTGTCAACGTTGAAGATTTTACCGTAAATAATAAAATAATATAAATACTCATAACAGTCACAACGATATAACATCTAAAATAAAATTYTWAAAAAAAGGCAATACTGGAAATAAATAAACTTTAAGATAAATATTTTCTTCCTTAAGATGTACTTACACATTGTTTAGTATGTTTTTTAGATGTAATTCGTTTTTAGTAAAAAGCTCATTGTGTCTTTCTTCGACGTATTTTTTAAAATAATCACTTTGTGTATGAATCACGTCATCAATCTTTTTAATCAATTCTTCTCTAAAGCATAATAATTTTAATTAAGTTCTTAATATAACTAAATATAAATCGATAATATTTTACTATATCCTATTGGTAAATAAGTACATTCTTACTGCTTAAATATTTTAACAGAACGTGGTTTTAGTTTTAATGAAAATTATACAGAATGTTTGTGAAATGGTTGAGGTAACTAGTATATGTGTACTCTTATGCGGCAAGCACCTAAGCCTGTGAACCACCCGTGCACTGGTGGAATGAGAAGATTAATTCTCTCCGTTTAGAGTGCATCAAGGCCAGGCGCCGCAAGGTTAGGATGGTGTCCCCTGTAGCCCTACTCCGGCAGCGGTGCACCGGTGATGAAAGAAGATGAAGACCGAGTCAATGCCGAGCTCACCAGGACCAACGATACTTATCGTGAGGCCAAAAGGCTACTCAAAGCGGCGATCCTGCGCAGCAAAAAGGCCTGCTGGAAGGAGCTTATCTCCACGGTTGACAGCGACCCCTTTGGGAAACCGTACAAACTTGTGTTACAGAAGCTGAGAGGTCCCCCAGCATCCACGATGAAGCGACAGACCCTGATTTCCGTGACCGGTGCTCTGTTTCCAACTCTCCCCGCAGTCAATGACGTACCCCTGTTGCCTTCTGATGACATCATACTATTCACTGAGCCGGAGATCGACGCAGCCATCTTAAGGGCAAAGAACAAAAATAAGCCCCCATCCCTGATTGTATTACAGGTAATATCCTTTCGCCCGTCCTCAAGGCAGACTGGCGGATTATAGTCGACTTGTATAACGATTGCCTCCGCCACGGAACCTTCCTCTCAGAATAGAAGACTTCAAAAATCGTTCTTGTTAAGAAAGGTAGCAAGCCGGAAGGTGTCCCGTCCTTTGGTCCTCATATCACCCGCTCTGCCTGCTGAATGACGCCGGGAGGCTGCTTGAATCCCTTCTCGCGCAGTGACTGGAAGATCACATTGTCAGGAACGGTGGTTTTTCTTCAAACACATTTGGTTTCCGGAAAAAAATGTCCACTGATGACGCAGTCCGCAGTTTTCACAATACTGTTGTACGGGAGTTTGACGGCAAATTTTGCGTTGCTATTAGAATATTAACATCAAGAACGCGTTCAATTCTATCAAATGGCTTGATATTCTTACGGTGCTCAGAAGATGGGAAGTCCCGGCATACATAATACAGCATGCTTCACTCCTATTTCATAGGCAGATCGTGTACGGTGTCCTCAGATGAAATGCCGGGTGGCAACTTAAACGTTGTTATAACAGGTGGTGTTCCCCAGAGTTCCGTCGTCGACCCCCTCCTTTAGAACATCACTTACGATTCCGTCCTAAGGGAGGGGCTACCGCGTGGAGCTAAGATTTTGGGATTTTTTGACGACACCCTCATAATAGTCTCGTCCAAGGCGATTGCTGAGTTGGAGACCCTAGCCAACCGGATTCTCCAGCAGGTTGGCGATCGCATTGCTCGCCTCGGCCTCAGCATTGCGGTTAACAGGACCGAGGTGGTCTTGTTGACTTATAAGTATWAATACGAAATTCCAAATCTATGGGTGTGTGGAAGCCGCATCACGCTATCGTCTGAGATGCGTTATCTCGGTATGATTGTCGACAAGTCGCTACTTTTCAAAAGCCACATCCGGAACGCTTCAGCGAAGGCCGAAAGAATTGGGACGCAGTTGGTCAGGCTCATGCCGAACATCAGTGGTCCACGGAAGGACAGGTGTCGGCTATTGTAATCAGTGTTGCACTCGGTGCTATTATACTGCGCACCCAGTTGGGCCCATGCCCTTGATATAATGCCCAGAAACGCAAACTTGCTGAACAAGACGCAAGGTTATAATTAGATGTATTTGCACCTACCGCACAACTCCAATGTTATCGGATCGATACCGCCAGCCAACTTACTGGCTAGAGAACGTGAAGCGGAGTTTTGAAGGCAGACGAAATGGACAAGACGGCATCTCCATCATCGAACTGAAGCAGCGGACATTATTTGTAAAATGGCAAGAAAGGTKGGATTGTGGAACCTCCGGACGATAGACGTAGAGAATTAATCCCAATGTTAAAATGTGCTGCGCAAGAGGATTTAGTCATGTGGAGTATCATCTAACCCAATTCCTCTCCGGTCACAGGTGCTTCGGGCAATACCTACACCGGTTAAAAAAACTTGAAGTCCCCAAGTGTGTCGATTGCCTTGAACCCATTGACAATGCTGAACACGTCGTTTTCAAGTACGACAGGTGGTGGCGGCAAAGAAGGGAGCTAGAAATCAAGCTTTGTAGTGACTTCACACCCAAATCCGCAGGTSAGATGATGGTGAAATCACGGAGCAATTGGCTGGAGTTTGCTGAATACATCAAACTTGTACTCTCCACCAGAGAAAAAGAGGAAGGCTAAGGCAGAGGGAAGCGGCTGAACATATGGCACGTACCTAGTTAAGGTGTTGTAYTATGTGGGCCTAAGGCCAATTTGAGATTGTGTAGGGCCATCTATTTTGTTTGTACATTATTATTATTTTTTTAGATTTTGAACGGAGTGATGAATGTATTGATTT